AGGTACAGGCGCAGCTGGCGCACAAGTTTTAACTGTGCAAATGCTCCCCTGGTCACCACCGAAACCTGGGGTTCCAGGCTCAGCAATGAATCCAGGATCACACCCAAGCTGTGAACCATGGGTCATCATGGTCATCGTGACCCACATTTCTCATTAATTTCAGTGGCTCTGTTTTGAGCATTGCTAAGTTTGCATCCAGCTTGTATATGGATTTCAGCCTTCATTTCCCCAAGTCCTGTCAATACAGGAATACACAGGGATTCAAAGCCAGATTTGTAAGAGTTCAGCACTCAAAGCCCTGGGTTAAATCTGTCAGTTGTTGTTTCATTCACATGTGTTCAATCTCAGCTTCTTTCCATCCTGATCATGTGTGGGTTTAGGCAAACTCTTATTAAAATGAAGTTAAACTTCTCCTTACCACCACAGCTAAGAGCCCAGAAGCTCGCTCTAGAGTTGTTTGAGGAATTACATCTTTATCAATCGTGATAACAAGTCACCTGACGTACAAGCCTTGGATGAAAAGATGGCTCAGGACTTACTTATCCACCAAATTTCACATTCCCTAACTGCTCCAAGTATCAAAATCCATTTTAAAGGTGTGTATTAAGAAAAGTTCATTTAGAAATGCATTTAATTTTACTCCAAAGGTGTTCCATTTAGACCAGGAATTCAGGAATACAATATTTTCATTCTCCCAAGAGGCAAGTTCTATTATAATGTAGCAGATCCATCAGAAACCAGGTGCACCATTTGAATACAAATTGCAAAATCATCATATCAGTGGATAATAATCAGATTACATTCATTGATCCTGTGTGTGTGTGCTTTCCCTTTCCCTTCTCTCTTGCTGCTGAATACAAATGAGATTTGACTTGCAATGCTTTGTATTCCACTGAGATGTTCCCCACTCCCTAAATAAAATGCAAGCCAGTGCTTTCAATTTTATGTACTTACCTTTCTGGGCATAACAAAGCTGGAACGAGTACTTGATTGTGCCTGTATAAGGTACTTAAGTGGTTGTTTTTGTCAGTTTTAATAAGAAGAGTGGGAAGAAATGGGATCTGTGGGAAATAATGTTATTTCTAACCCTGTGTTTATTGCATGAACTCTTTAGTTGTTTGACATTGATTTATTTCCAATCCTGAAACATATGCAAATTGTTTTATTACTGCCAGCATACTTTTTTTTTCCTGAGTTACTGATCAGGCAGTTGGGTGGGGAATGCATTCATTTGTAGAAACTCTCAATTTCTACAATGTGATTGAAAATGGGCAGGAATAAAACTAAGAAAATGAATTTCAACAGGGAGAAATGTAAAGTGCTATACCTGGACAGAAACAAAATGCACAGATATAGGATGGGTGACACTTGTTTTGAAAACAGAATGTGTGAAAAGAAGTCTTAGTAGACCACAAGCCAAGTCAACAGCATGATGCTAGACTGTGTCAATAGAAATATATTATCTAGATCAGCATTTCTCAACCTGGGGGTCAGGACCCCTGGGAGGGGGGGGTTGCGAGGGGGTTTCAGCAGGGTCACCAAAGACCATCAGAAAACACATATTTCTTGTGGTCTTATGAATCCCTTTGGCAGGGAAGGTTAAAGATATCTCCATCTGTCCTTCTCTTCTTTTTTTGAAACAGACCATGAATCCTTCCACCAAAAGCCCTCCTCCTGCTGTGATTGTAGGTGAACTATAAATCCCAGCAACTACAACACCCAAAGGTCTATTTTCTCCAAACCCCACCAGTGTTCACATTTGGGAATATTGAGTTTTTGTTCCAAGTTTGGTCCAGATCCATCCATCCACAGTACTCTCTGGATGTAGATGAACTAGAACTCCAAAACTCAAGGTCAATGCCCACCAAACACTTCCAGTATTTTCTCTTGGTCATGGTAGTTTTGTGTGCCAAGTTTGGTTCAATTCCATTGTTGGTTGAGTTCAGAATGCTCTTTGATTGTAGGTTAACTATAAATCCCAGCAACTACAACGCCTAAATGACCAAATCAGTCCCCCACCCCACCAGTATTCAAATTTGGACATATTGGGTATTTGTGCCAAACTTGGTCCAGTGAATGTAAATACATCCTGCATATTAGATATTTACATTACAATTCACAACAGTAGCAAACTTACAGTTATGAAGTAGCAACAAAAATAATTTTATGGTTGGGGGTCACCACAGCATGAGGAACTGTATTAAGAGGTCACAGCATTAGAAAGTTTGAGAACTACTGATCTAGATACAGGGAAGTAATAGTACCATTATATTCTGCTTTGTAAAACCTCACCTAAATTTAGACAATGCAATTCAAGAAGGATATTGACAACCTAGAAGGCTGACTCAAATGGTAAAAGATCTGGACACCATAAATTCCTATGAGGAGCCTCTTAGGGAGCTCAGTGTTTAGCCTGGAAAAGAGAACTCCAAGAAGCAGCATGATCGTCATGTTTATATATTTGAAAAGCTGTCATTTTGAAGAAAGAACAAAATTGTTCAAGAGTCTAGGACACAATGAAGCAAATGATTCAAACTTCAAAAAAAGAGAGATTTCACCTAAGCTTTAAGAAAAAAAATCCAAAAGATATGAGGTGTTAGATAGTGGAATACACTGCCTTGGAGTATGGTGAGGTCTCCTTCTTTTTAAACAGCAATTGAATATCCATCTGTCACAAGTGCTTTGACTGTGGGTATACCTGCATGGTGGGATGTGGTTGGACTAAATGGCCCTTGTGATCCCTTCCAACTCTTAAGACTCTGAATTTTCTGACTCATCCCATCCTACTCCTGCATCCCATATCTATTGGTGATTCTGTTTTACCCATCTGCAATTTTGGCAGGTTTGCCTGCAAATCATATTGTTTGTACATTTTAATGCATTTTTTCTTAATAAACAACTTTCTTCAAAGGACATTTCCCTAATATATGCCTGTCAGTATGCAATTTTCTCTAACATACACATCTTGGTGTGCATTTTGTGATCATGTAATTGCATCATGAAAGTGGAGCCCCTGGTGGTGCAGTGTGTTAAACCCCTGTGCTGGCAGGACTGAAGACTGACAGGTCACAGGTTCGAATCCGGGGAGAGGCGGATGAGCTCCCTCTATCAGCTCCAGCTCCTCATGCAGGGACATGAGAGAAGCCTCCCACAAGGATGATAAAAACATCAAATCATCCGGGCGTCCCCAGGGCAACGTCCTAGCAGATGGCCAATTCTCTCACACCAGAAGTGACTTGCAATTTCTCAAGTCACTCCTGACATGACCAAAAAAAATCATGAAAGTCAAGGAGGGGCAGAAAGCAAAGGATAATTACATTTTGAAGCTTGCATTTTGAATCAAGCTCTGTGGCAACAAGATAACCAACTTAGGTGCCATCCCCTTGTCCGTTCTTGCAATGTGGATCCTGGGGAAAGTGAAATGGCCATGTGAACAGAGAAGGGAAGGAATGTAGGTCTCTTATTGGTCATTTGTTATTTCACAGTAGGCATTTTGCATAGGATTTCCAAGGTGAAGCCTGGTCATCGTTGCACCCCTTGCAAATAAAGCTATGTCCCTCAGTCGGAAACATAGGTGCTTGTCACACTGATCTTTTTTTGTTTTTACGTCACTCGTATTTTGTTTGAGATAGCTTTTAGTAGGCATCCATTTCTGCTCAGCTAATGATTTGTTGTCCCATTGAATTTCATTCAGCTATTATCTCCAAAGTGCTTTGAGCTGCAGTGCATGAAAGCTTCACTCACAAATGCTTTATGGGATGGAATGAAAATGCAGGTATCAACAGGCTGCAATTAATGGGCCTGCACTAAATAATCAGCGTTTGTTCCTTTCTTGAAGTCAGCAACCTGAGGAACTGAGAGCTCGCAAACAAATGTTGGCACATCAAATAGTTCTAAACTTTGCTGAGGTCAAGCATTTCAGTGCTTTGGAAGAAATGATCACTACTGACATTATTTGTCAGGTTGGGAGCTGAGAGCTGCAGGCAGTGAAATAATAGTCAACATCAGCTTGCTGCTCCCATTGGCAAGACATGTGCCTATATTACCCACCCAAAATGGCTCCCAAGGGCAAAGGCAGGGAAGTTACATGGGATGGAATAAGTATGTTGTCAAATTCTAGATGCTCAATGGAGGGGTAAAATGGGCCTTTCCATCCCCTTAGCACAAGGGAAAGGGATTGGTTTCAGCTGAATATGTGGACAATGGACCAGCACAAATCAGACCCAATCATGTCCATATCATGCCAAGGCTGAAATGTTAGTCCAGGACATTCTCCTGGTGGAACATAGATTTTTTTTTTGTCTTTACTGGCCCCACAATCACTCACACTGTGACCTTAAGTTCAGTCCAGCAGGGGCGGCTAATTGCTTTGTTTACATCACACTATATATACAAGGTTACTCAGAGCATGCAGTGCATACAATGAAAGAGGAATAAATCATGGCATCTAGGACATTTATGCTCTGCTTATCAGTCTCATCATTCAAAGACAGCCTATGGATGTTACATGCATTCCTTTCCCCAGAAGAGTCCAATCTTTCAGTCTAGGCATGTCCAATCCTTGGTCCTAACCCTTTCATGCCTGTTTTGGTTACTACATGATTCACAGAATGGGTTTTTGACCTTTACACATTTAAATCTCAACTGTCCTTTGGAGGATCATGTCACCAATCCAAGCAGGTGCAACATGTATGGAAAATGATATGATAATTCTGCCATGTGTCTCCCTGTCCCTGTGAAAAATGGCTAGTACATTGACAACTGGAATTGAGGGATTCCTCTGGTATTACTTGCTTTGAGATTTTTTACTTAAGACACATTTCTTTTATTTGACAAAAACTCATTTTATTAAATAGTCTTATTTCACCTTATATAACAGCTACGCCTAATTCAACAGGAAAGCAGCAGGATGGTGATGGGGTAGGACCAGGTGAACACAACAAAGTATGTCTTTCTTAAGTATTAGTTAAGAAAGAATTGTTGGTAAGTCTATATCCCTTCTATTTATCCTCAAAGTTTGACAAAGCTAATACAACATATTCCTGAAGCTGTCTCCGCTCATCCAGGTTGTACTGAAGCTTCTCCAACAACTCAAAGTAGCGGAAGAGCGTATCCCGAGGCCAAACTACTTTCTCAGACTCATCAGCCTCATATAGACCTTGCAGGTTCTTGTGTATGTAGGATTCCCAATCCAATGGTCCAGTGTAGAATTCGTGTAAACTGTAGTCCGGATATTCCGAAGGAACTATTGACTCTGTGCTCATCTTTTCCTGTATTGTGCTGCTCTTATAGGATTGTCCCTGGGAATGATTGTATCTCATTTCCATGAGCTCCAACTTAAATTTGTTTGCTTGTTGCTGGCTCTCAATCTCCTTAGCTTCCTCTGTAAGGTTACTTCGAATGTTCTGGAAATTAGTGACCATGCTAGCCACAAGGAGGTTCCTGAAGATGAATGCCCCAATGAGAAGCCACATACAAATGAAGATACCACTGATGACCTTGTTTACCTGTGGGACTGACCACATGTCCTGCAACAATGCATACCAGTGATCCATAGTGAAAAGAATGAAAATGGTCACAAAAGAATTTGGTATGTCTGAAAAATACACCTGATACTCAAGGTCATCTTGGTCTGAGCGACTAAAACTCTCAAAGAAGAAAATGCCTGATACAGTAAAGCAATAGAAGATGAACAGTAGGAGCACAAGGATGAAGGTCATGGCCTTGAATGCTCTGGCAATGGCCATGATGAGGACCCTCATCTGTTGGATTCTGGGGAAAAGCTTTAAGCAGCGCAACACACGGCAAACCTGGTGGAGCCTCATGGCCGTTGGGCTGTGGGCCTTGTATGAAACGTAAATAAACTCAGGGATGAAGGATATGAAAGTGACTGTGAAGTCATAGACATTCCAAGAGTTTTTCCAGTACTGCTGAAAACTAACAGTCCAATTAAGTATAATCTCACCCCAAAAGATCAGCACAATGACCCAGACAATCACTTCTACTGCTATCTTCAGTTTTACAAAGCGGCTTTCCTCCCTCTCCACTATTTCTGATGAAATCATGAGCACAATCATATTCAAAATAATGAGGAAGATGATGAAGCTGTTGAACATTTTGTTGTTCAAGATCCAAGAAGCCCACAAGGCAAATGGGGGCCAGTGACTGCATCGTACCTCAATACGGTTGCCCCAGCGTTTCTCTTGAGTGACCATTACATTCCGAACAGGCAACACATTAAATCGAACCAGCTGGTGGTGGTCTGTGAGCATGAGCTTCCTCCTTTTCCTGGGGTCTAGGAAATCTCGTATGTTGTGTCGGGGCACAGCGTGACTCAGTCCCCTCAGGTGATCCATCAGGTAGAAAGTATAGATCAGCTTAGACCGGATGGCATCTGCTCGGGGGTGCACCTCGACAGGTGTGTTCACTTTGATTCCCTGAGCTTTTTTGGAGTGCAGAGTAGACTCCATGGCTCCCTTTTACTGCTTCCAGTCCTGTACAGGGAAGAGTGAAAGCTTCCTCCTGCAGCACAATAGAACACAAAAATGACCTCACAGTCATGAATGCAAACTGCTTCTGCTGTTCATAACATTCTACTAGCAGGATTCCACATTCTAGGATTTATGTGTTACGTAGGCTCAGTACTTGGCTAAGTACTTTGGCCACATCATGAGGAGACAGCAAAGCCTAGAGAAGACAATTATGCTGAGGAAAGTGGAAGGTAAAAGGAAGAGGGGCCGACCAAGGGCAAGATGGATGGATGGCATCCTTGAAGTGACTGGACTGACCTTGAAGGAGCTGGGGGTGGTGACGGCTGACAGGGAGCTCTGGCGTGGGCTGGTCCATGTGGTCACAAAGAGTCGGAGACGACTGAACGAATGAACAACCACAGGCTCAGGTTCTCAAATACTTGCTTTGCATTTGTTTCCAGGCATGTACAAAGATGTGACGCATTAAATATGGGATTGTTCAAAGGCTTTGATTATGTTTACTATGCAGGAATCTGCTACAAGCCCAATGACAGTAGCAACACAACTGTTCAGTCCAATAACTTTCAAAGCTTGACTGGCTTCTTCATCAGACACAGATGCTAAAAATCATATTGGGTTGGGGAAAAGTAGAACATGTTAAAGTCATACATCCATATTCTTTCCCAGTTGTTACTGTTGTCAGTTGAAGGATTCCAATACAGACAAATGCCACTCCCCTTCTTACCACCATGATATACTTTTTAAATGAAAAGGAAAGGAAAAGTATAGAATCACTAAAATCAACTCATGCTTGGAGTGGGATACAATTACGCCATCTATGTGGCTTTTAGATTATCTGAATCCATTTCAGCCTTGAGTGAATTGCCCTTGAAAATATGTCAAATGACTTTTTCTTTTTTTAACTTCCAACTAGATATCTTCAAACAGTACACAAGCTACCTTGGTGCTTGGTTTCATCAATGCATAAGGTTAAATGAGATTCACAATTGAAACTGAATTACATGGGGCTTTTAAATACCAAAGGGAGCCCCTGGTGGCACAGTGGGCTAAACCGCTGAACTGCTAATAATAATATATTTATTTATTTATTATTTATATTTATTTTATTTATTTGTCGTGTCAGAACAACCAGCCATGACTTCAACAGCCATAGCCACGTATGGGGCTATGCCCAAGAGGACAGAAATGGAGAGGCTGTCCTCTCCTGGTCTGAACTGCACAAACTATCACTCATCCATGATAGCAAGCTCCCCCCATCCTACAACAGCGGGAGATGGCACCGAGGTTATAACCCAGACCTCTTATTTGTGAGCGACAGCATCGTACAGCAATGCACTAAATCAGTGGGACCACCAATTCCAAACACACAGCACCGACCAATAATATGCCAACTGTTCCCAACAATAAGGCCTCAAGAAGTTCGATTTAAACGAAGATACAACTTCAGAAAGGCAGATTGGACTAAATTCTCAGACATGTTAGATGACATGATCTCATCAGTCACGCCAATCCCTGAGGAATACGAGCATTTTATTGAAATAGTGAAAACCTGCTCACGGGCCTCCATACCGAGAGGCTGCAGAACCAACTACCTTCAGGGCATTACTCCTGAAACAGCTGCCTTGTTGAAAAACTATTACAGGCTCCACAACGAAGACCCATTTAGTGAGCAAAACCTTCAGGCAGCGCAGAGCATTGTGTCCTCCATCTCTGAAGCCAAGAAAGAACAGTGGATCAAACTGATCACAGAGGTCGACATGGGCAGGAGCAGCCAGAAGGCGTGGAGGCTGCTAAGACGGTTGAGCAATGACCCCTCACAAAATAATACCCATGCCAACATAAAGGCAGATCAGATAGCACACCAACTCTTGAAGAATGGGAAACCCAACTTTGCCACCAAAGTAGGAAAGAAACCAATAGCCAGACAACAAGAGATTGAGAACAACAACCTTCATGAACCCTTTACATCCACTGAATTGGACATGGCACTCAACAAATGTAAGAATGGCAAAGCAGCTGGCTTGGATGATCTACGGATGGAACAAATCAAGAACTTTGGTCCAAAAGCAAGGCGCTGGCTGCTGGAGCTGATGAACAACTGCACTGCATCCTGTCAGATCCCCAAAATCTGGAGGAAAGCAAGAGTCATCGCCATCTTGAAGCCAGGCAAAGACCGTAATGACCCAAAAAGCTACAGACCAATCTCCCTGTTGTGCCACCTCTACAAAGTTCTGGAGAGACTTATTTTGCATAGAATTATGGAAAAACTAGACCCATGTCTGATCCCACAGCAAGCTGGCTTCAGAAAAGGCAAAAGCTGCACATCGCAAGTGTTGAACCTGACTCAGCACATAGAAGATGGCTTTGAAAGGCAGCAGATCACAGGAGCTGTCTTCATAGACCTGTCAGCAGCCTATGATACTGTGAACCACCGCCTCCTCCTGAGAAAAATGTATAATATCACAAAGGACTACCACCTCACCCGCCTCATAGGAAACCTGCTACAAAACAGGAGCTTTTTGTTGAGTTCCAGGGCCAGAGAAGCAGATGGCGGAAACAGAAGAACGGCCTGCCTCAGGGGAGCGTGCTTGCTCCATCCATGTTCAACATCTACACAAATGACCAGCCACTGCCAGAAGGGACAGAGAGTTTCATCTATGCTGATGATCGTGCCATTACTGCTCAAGCAGGGAGCTTTGAGATGGTAGAACAGAAGCTTTCCAAAGCTCTAGGTGCTCTTACTGCCTATTACAGGGAAAACCAGCTGATCCCTAACCCATCTAAAACACAGACATGTGCCTTTCATCTCAAGAACAGAGAAGCATCCCGAGCTCTGAAGATCACCTGGGAAGGAATCCCACTGGAGCATTGCAGCGCACCCAAATACCTGGGAGTCACTCTGGACCGTGCTCTTACCTACAAGAAGCACTGCCTGAACATCAAGCAAAAAGTGGGTGCTAGAAACAATATCATACGAAAGCTGACTGGCACAACCTGGGGATCACAACCAGATACAGTGAAGACATCTGCCCTTGCGCTGTGCTACTCTACTGCTGAGTATGCATGCCCAGTGTGGAACACATCTCACCACACTAAAACAGTGGATGTGGCTCTTAATGAGACATGCCGCATTATCACGGGGTGTCTGCGCCCTACACCACTGGAGAAATTACACTGCTTAGCCGGTATTGCACAACCTGACATCCGCCGGGAAGTAGCAGCCAATAGTGAAAGGACCAAGGCAGAGACATCTCCAGCTCATCCCCTGTTTGGGTATCAGCCAGCACGTCAACGACTTAAATCAGAAATAGTTTTCTAAGATCTACAGAGACACTCACTGGAACACCTCAGCAAACGAGAGTCCAAAAGTGGCAGGCTCAAACCCAGAACCTCAACCAATGGCTGATACCAAATGAGAGACTCCCCCTGGGCACACAGAGGACTGGGCGACTTGGAAGGCACTGAACAGACTGCGCTCTGGCACCACGAGATGCAGAGCCAACCTTCAGAAATGGGGCTACAAAGTGGAATCCTCGACATGCGAATGTGGAGAGGAGCAAACCACTGACCACCTGCTGCAATGCACCCTGAGCCCTGCCACATGCACAATGGAGGACCTTCTTGCAGCAACACCAGAAGCACTCCAAGTGGCCAGATACTGGTCAAAGGACATTTAATCAACTCTCATACTCACAAATTTTGTAATCTGCTTGTTTGCTTTGTTCTGTTAGAAATGTAATATAATTTGACTAGTAATAATAATAATAATCTTTATTTATACCCCACTACCATCTCCCAAGGGACTCGGTGTGGCTTACATGAGGCCGAGCCCACAATACATCAATACAAGCAATAACAACCACAATACAAAGCAAAATACAAATACTAATACAAAGCAATTAAAATAAATCTCATACACAAATAGCATAAACATTGAACAATAACACAAGACACATTTAAAACTGTGGCTGGGCCAAATGCAATTAAGTTAAAAAATAATGCTGGGCATGAACAAGATAGAGGAGGTAAGGCGTTGGAGGAAACGTACAAGCAGACCTAAATCAATATAAAGTGCTTTTAGAGGACATAATGCTAAAGGTTCATTATTCCGGGAAGGCACACTAGAACAACCACGTTTTCAAGCTCCTCCTGAAGACTACCAGAGTTAGGGCATGCCTGATGTCCTTAGAAAGTGAGTTCCAGTCGAGGGGCCACCACCGAGAAGGCCCTCTCTCTCGTCCCCACCAATCGCATTTGCGATGCCGGTGGGAGCGCGAGTAGGGCCTCTCCAGAGGATAGAAGAGATCATGTGGGTTCATACACAGAAATGCGGTCACGCAGGTAGGCAGGTCCCAAACCATTCAGAGCTTTGTAGGTAAGAACCTGCACCTTGAATTGGGTCCGGAAAATGGCAGCCAGTGGAGCTCCTTAAACAGGAGGGTTGACCTCTCCCTGTAAGGAGCGCCAGTTAACAACTAAACTTATTGACCGAAAGGTCACAGGTTCAAATCCGAGGAGTGACGTGAGCTTCCACTGTTAGCCCCAGCTTCTGCCAACCTAGTAGTTCGAAAACATGCAAATGTGAGTAGATCAATAGGTACCGCTCTGGCAGGTAGGTAACGGCACTCCATGCAGTCATGTTGGACACATGACCTTGGAGGTGTCTATGGACAATGGCAACACTACGGCTTAGAAATGGAGATGAGCACCAACCCCCAGAGTCGGACACGACTGAACTTAATGTTAGGGGAAAACCTTTACCTTTAAATACCAACACCAAATGTAACTTTGTATCCAACTCACTCTGTACATTCTCAGAGACAATGCCTCTACCTCCCTTCACTTTCAGACTCCCATGTTATGAGGCAGGAAGACCTTTTTGGGGAAACAATTCATCACCAAAGAGACACCATGCATGTGCACTATGCTAACTTTGGGGTTTGTTTTATGGCCAACACAACTTGTTATCTGACATGATG